TTTGACCTTTCTCTGTCCCCCTCACTTCTGAAATGATAGCTACGCCCGTTTCATAAGTCAGACTTGACAAGGTTTGGTTGAACTAACCCTTTAAGTGTGTAAATTAATAATTTCATTTTGCTTCCAGAATGCTTGTTTCTCTTCCAAATGTTCCAAATGCATCATTTATGCCATTTTGAATGCAGCATTTGATAAGCAAAACTATCAGATACTGAAAACACTTTTTGTTTATTTCTCGTAACGATTCAATAATAATTCTTAAGCACTGTGTAATTATTAATTTGCTATTTATTTATAAAGTACTAATAATTATATAAGTAATTTCATGCAAACGAACAAAATAAATGTGGTAATTATAGTCTGTAATCTCATTAATAAATTAATTAAAAAAAATAAAAATGGAATCGTTTTAGGGTCGTATCATGATGCCAGAATCGGAATCGGATCGTGAGGTGCCTAAAGATTCCCACCCCTATAGAACCCGAGTGAAAGGCTAAATCAGGGGTGCCCAAACTCGGTCCTGGAGGGCCGGTGTCCTGCAGAGTTTAGCTCCAACTTGCCTCAACACACCTGCCTTCAAGTTTCTAGTATGCCTAGTAAGAGCTTGATTCGCTGGTTCAGGTGTTGAAAAAAGTATAGTATATAAACAAACCATAAAACTGATATTAGGAAAATATAGGACAAATATTACAAATTTAATTAATAATACAAGTTATTGGTAATTGTCCAGAAGTCTTATTCTTAGCCAGAAGTAATTTCTTAGTCAATTAAAAGAGATAAGAAAATTAATAAAATCTGTCAGCCGGTGTCCTGCAGAGTTTAGCTCCAACTTGCCTCAACACACCTGCCTTCAAGTTTCTAGTATGCCTAGTAAGAGCTTGATTCGCTGGTTCAGGTGTGTTTAATTGGGGTTGGAGCTAAACTCTTCAGGACACCGGCCCTCCAGGACTGAGTTTGGGAACCCCTGGGCTAAATGAATGGTGCTTTGCTGAGCGAAACTCTCGTTGGTCAGTCGGGCGGATTGAAGAATGTTTTCCGGTGGCCGCTGACAGCTCATTTGGGTGATGTGTCTCGCTCGTCCCGCGAGAGTCTACTCATTAATATTCCGCTCCATGCGCCTTTTGTCTGATCCATCTATGGGGGGAGGAACTCTGGGGAAAGAGATGAAAACTGCCTTTATTGAAAACTGAGTTAGAGTGAGGTCCCGACCCTGGAGGCAGACATACTGATGGACATGTAATGAAAGGACAGGAGGGACTATGCGCTCTGTTAGTTTATAAATACTGTATTAATGTAATAAACACTATGCTATGCCTTCCCAGCTACCTATATACACGGAATAAGGAGTTTAAAAACCTAAATAATAATAATAATAAAAGTAAATTATAAATATCACAGTGTTCATCAAGACTTCATTTTAAGCTAACTGTAATAATAAGCCACAACAATAAAATAATATAACCTAGAGACTGATAACGCTAAAAAGAAATGAAAGGCTTGATATTTCGTTAGATAACGCAGGAATTGGCAAATCCACGTGAAACGAACAATGGATAGTTAAAGGTCCGCAGGCCCCGCCCCTTTTCCAAGTGCACATCAATCACAGCTGACAAAACCATAAAACACGCACTTGCTGTGAAAGGAGATTGCATTTAACTATACTTTAACTATGCAAATGCTTCTGTTAATGCTATTATAACGGCATATTGATGTTATAAAACCCATATCGACACGTACCAATTATGTAACACCAAAAAGTACATTTTAAACAAGCTTGTTGTTTTTGTGCGCTCTTGACTAATAGTGACAGTACTGACTGGCACTACATTTCTCGCCATTTCTAAACTTTTCACAACACTTTCCGAATATCCACACCTCCGTAAAGCGATAGTGAACCGCTGGAGGGAATTTCTAAAGGATGGTTTTCATCATGTCGCCTCCTACCAGCTGTCGTCTTAAAGTGAGCTGCTCCTGCTCTCTGCTGCTGCGGGCCGGACCCACATCACCCCAAGCCGGGAATCCCGGCAAGGAGTCCCCGAGCGACAGGGCACCGAGGACCAGACTCTCCTGCCGCTGCTTCAGTATCTCCAGCTCACACAGCCACGTCAAACTGGCCTCCAGACGCTCTTTATTCCGACCGCGCTCTTCTTCCATCTTCGGAGGAATCCCGAGGTCCACCAGGATGCTCCTCAACCTTCCCAACAGAACAAAAGCAATCAACCTTTCAATATGATCTGCGTCCGCCTGCTTCTGCTTCAACCGTGGACGTTTATCACGTTAAATTCCCATTTAGCTTGAGCGTTTTCCCCCGACACGCGTCTCTGTTACTCATATTGCTGCGGTCGCACAGTGTTTGAGCATCTCAGTTTTGAATCTTCCCCTCACGTTGCTGTACATTGAGGTGTTCCCTGCTTATTAGAATATTCAGCCTTGTCCGCTGTGATTGGTTGGAAGCTCTCAGTCACCGCCCTCCTGAGGATTTCCCATACACTTATTGGTCAGTCCCCCGGAGCTTCATTTGCATGCAGACCAAGGCGAGTTTTAGTGCGCTGGATTAATGAATGACTGGACACCGAGAATATTAATTTGCATGTTGCGACCGATTGAGAGGTCAGAAGACACGACAATTCCTGCGTGGGCGATTTATAAGGATAATTAATGAATACTTGGCAAATATTTCGGGTTTGTTGGTTACGACATAGGATCGAAAAGTGACAGAAAATTCGATTAAAGGAAGGTTCATTTTATAGAAATTATATAGCCTATTTTTTGTACTTGAATATGATTTTCTCAACATTCACCGCGTTTGTCTAATATTGGTATTTCATCAAAACAAATCTGTATTTAATCGATTTCAAGCGCAAACTGGATGACTGCTACATTTTTGGATATATGGATGCATCTGGAGATTACGTAATTAAAGAACTGGGTTATATCTCTATCTAGTGGCTAGACATGCTAGTGCACATTAGCGTGATAGTTCTCTGTTGTATGGAAAATATTGAGATTTCTTTTTAATGAGGTGTTAAATACATTTACTCGGCTTCTGGCCAACTCCCAAAAGCATAATGCAATTGCCTGTGATATTAGCAGTGTTGGGGGTAACGCATTACCAGTAACGCGAGTTACGTAATCAGATTACTTTTTTTCAAGTAACTAGTAAAGTAACGCATTACTTTTTAATTTACAAGAGAATATCTGAGTTACTTTTTCAAATAAGTAACGCAAGTTACTTTTTTTTCTAATTTATTGATTGACAGCTCTCCTGTCCCCATGTTGAGAGAAATCAGATGTTACTGTAGATCTAAAACAAATATGAATATGCATTAATTCATCTCACTCACTCAAAAAAAAAAAACAGATTCAGTATTCCTCAAAATTAATAAAAAAAATGCAACTCAGAATATAACGCAAACCTGCAATAATTAAATGTTAAACAACACAAATATCCTTTATGTATTTAAGCCCATTCTGTTAACCAATGTCTTTGCTTCTGACCTTCGATGATCCAGTTCAACCATACTAATAACAGCCTGAGGCGTATTCATTTCACTTTTGGTATGAAAGGCTTTTATATTTGCCAAAAATATAACTTTTTTTTTATTTTAAAAACAAACAAGCAAGCCCTGTCCAGATTTTAAAAAGTAACTCAAAAGTAACGTAACGCATTACTTTCCATAAAAAGTAACTAAGTAATGTAAGTAGTTACTTTTTTATGGAGTAACGCAATATTGTAATGCATTACTTTTAAAAGTAACTTTCCCCAACACTGGATATTAGCATACTGCGAAATCATTGTAACTTGCAACACTGTGTATTTGAGAAAGGGTATGGTAAATCATTAAAAAAAAAAAAAAATGTATATAAAAAAATATGTATTTTCCCAGTGTTGTTTTATTATTATTATTATTTGTAATCTGTCTACTTCACATAGATCAGAGAGCCACTGAATCAGAGTCTATATTAGACAAAGTTGTTGGCAGAATGGAAAACTGTGCACAGCACAGCTCTGCTTCCAGTTTCAGTGAATACTGCACATATTGTCTGATACATACAGTGCATATGGAAACATGTACAAATCAGTCTGGTCTAGAGATAAAAACAGCTCTAAAAAGAAGAAGAAGAAGAAGAAGAAGAAGAAGAAAATACAGTAAATCATTGCTACACCAGTTAAGTTAAAGGATGCCAAAAATGGACATCAGCAGAAATCAATCAGCACACTTTCAAGAAAATAAAACAGTTGATTTGTGAGACAGTTTGTTGCTGGAAACAGTTGTAATGTCGACCATGGAACTACAGCACAGGTACAGAGTCTAATGCACTGAGCATGATATGAACATTTGAAATATAATTCAGAATAATCTTTCCTTTGCCTGAATACTTGATCACAAATGCCCAGCATAATTTCAATAGCCAAATCTCATAGTGACAACATATTTTTCAGTTGCAAAATGCAAACTCAAATCTTTGGTCAGATACATCACGAGAAGTCGCTGCATATGAGCAAAACAATGAGGCTGAAGGTTAATTATAACTTTCTGCTCTGTTGGAGTCAGTAATGTTTACTCGTGTATAGCAGAAGAAAACAGGTGGTCCACAAAGAAAAAAAAAACTTAAAATGCAATAAACAATTTCACATGAGGCATTCACACACACTTATACACGTACAGTACAGTGAACATGATTGTGACAGTGATTTCATTTGCTTTTTCACTTTCAGTTCCAAAATACCAAACCATGAGCAACCAATTAATCTTTTCTCTAAACACACATAGTGAAAAAAGAGCGATCAAATCCATATTGCAGAATACACACCCAACAACCTATACAGATGCACTCTAATGCCAAAATAAAAGAATTATAATTGAGGGAAGATTCTGAACCGTGAATAAGCAGTTAAATATCTCAGTAGTTCAACTGCGTTCTGGAATATAATGCCGGCTTCAAACACTGCTCAGAGCAACACTAAAGTCCAGCTAAACTGCTGGACTGCGGAACACGATTCATGATTCAAATCACATTACAGCAGAGTCTTTTCTGGGAAAAACATCTTACATACATTCAATACCATGAGTTTTGTAGCTGGAATATTATCATATGTGCTACCAGCAAACATATATTTCATACATCAGGCTTTCTGTCTTTAACGCCTGGATGTAAAGTGCCGCTTCTCTTCGTGTCGTCTCACATGAGATTTTTTTACATTGACCTCAGTCTGCATAAAAAGGGGGTCGTTGCATTTTATGTTATATATAAATAAATTCTACCATCTATAAATACTATATTTGGTTTAGGCTAGAGCACTTGTGCTCTATAAAAAATAAAATAAAAAAAATATCATTACCACCTCACATAACTTTTCTTTTATTTGACTGATTTAAAATGACAAAATATGGGCTATCGGTTAAATTAAAACACGAAGTTAGTGAGTCCAGTGCTGTTTCCTGCAGTGCCTCCCGGTCCAAACTCTCACCTCAGACAAAATAAAAACAGGAATGATGCCACAGCAGAGAAAGCGTGTGTGTGTGTGTGTGTGTATGGGTTTGGGCCAAACCGAGATGGTCATTTTTAGACCTCTCAGCTTTCTGAAGCCAGGTGGATGTGTAAACAGATGCCCAGTGGACTGAGCTTCTGGGCAAGAAAAAGGCAGTTTGGCTTCATGTGCTGGGAGGAAGACACAAGATGTACAAGTGGAATGATTTAAAACGTCACACGGACACGCTTACATTCACCAAAATAGACACAGATCAACGACACACGCATGCGCTCACACGGACACGTCTCAAACGTGCTTGTGCGTGTCGCTGAATAAAACGCAGTTTAATAATTATAAACTCTTTCCTTCTAGAGCTTTGATAAGTGTTCTATGTACATAAATTAACAATAAATATATGCAACAACCTCTCTATATATTGAAATATATATTAAATCTTGAATAAAGTATATATTTCAAACATATTCATATATTTTCCTACATCTTCAAATGAATCAGGAGATATCACGGTTTAGTTTAGTGATCAAAAACTAAGAACTTTATCCATCTTCCTGGCTGCGGTGTCCCTTTTCACACTCTTTCTCTGGTGCAAAAGCACTTTAGCATAATGGTCAACGCTTCACAGAAATCTAAGGTCTCTGTTCTTAGCGCAAATGGACCTTTGGCGGAAGCTATGTAAACTTTCTAGTGCAGGATTATCAAGGAAACCAGCCCTGATACTACAGCATGAGTGAACTAGATTTCATAATGCTTCCTGCCGAAAGCTCTCACAAATGGGAAAAGGGACATTGCAGCTGTGCCGTTACAGGTCAAAACCAAGCTAAAAGATTCCTTTTTGTACCAATAAAAACACTTCAAAAGAAAGGAGGGCTGAGAAGGGTAAAAAAAAAAGGATGCGCTTCATTTTCCTCCTCAGGTCCGTTACGTTCCTCTGCAGACAGTAACATCCTCAGAAAGAGAACCTGAAAGAAAGCAGGAACAGCGATGAGCCCATTCGGACTCTAACTGTCCCACAATTCCATGGGACAGATACGGCCCCACTTCCTATGGGTTTGCTGTCCACTAGGATTGGCCGATGGCAGTTTCTGGTCCAACTCTTCTTCTTCTGGTCTCTATCAAGTGTCTCTTTTGTTTGGTATGCATAGTCATACACGCACATTTGGGCCCTTTGTTTTTTGCCTTTTGTTTTCATAAGTGGCTCTACATTGCACAGCGCGCCCTGGTGGCCTGGACGGTAAGTGTCAGTGATATCGACTTCTCTTCTTGTCCGAGCCTGAGTTGTAATCTCGTAGACCCACACCTTTCTGTAGGCTCAGTAAGGAATCCTTCATCTATGTGAAGACACATATGCGGTCATTTTACAATCAAGCTTAATCAAATCGCTTCTGTGTGTGTGCGAACATATTATATACCTGATCCAATAAGAGTACCGAAGATTTGACAATCCCTCTCCATTTCTGCAGCTCCGCGTCGTGGTAGCGCTGCTGGGACTCCAGGAGCTGTGCCCATTCCATCTGTGTAGATGGCAGTTTACTGCTAAAATGCATGGTAACAAAAACATCACCACTAAGTGATCTACACAGGTCTGTCAATTGAGTTTAGGTATGTATAGACACTTATAATAAATTTCAAAATCAGGAGGGTTGAGTGCAGTCCAAACATCTGTGCATGTGCTTGGGATTGTTCTTGGGATGTTGTGGGAGGAGCTCACAACTGTGGGTGGGGCTTGATTGCTGTTTATTGCTGTGGGTGGAGCTAAAAAATATTGTGATTGGGTCTTGATGTTGTGGGAGGGGCTTACAACTATGGGCAGGACTAAATGTTGTTGTGGGTAGAACATGATCTTATTGTGGATGGGTCTTGGTGTTGTGGGTGGAGCTCTTTATTGTTATCTTGGTTTTCAGGAGGAGATCACAACTGTGGGTGTCTTGCGTGACTGAATTATTGTGGGCATGACTCAGTATTGTTATTATTGTTGGGTGTGGCTTGTTATTGTTGTAGGTGGCGTTTAATAATATTGTGGGTGGGGTTTGATATTGCTGTGGGTGGAGCTCTTTCTGTGGGTGTGACTGAATTATTGTGGGCATGACTCAATATTTGTTGTTATTGTTGGGTGTGGCTTGTTATTGTTGTAGGTGGAGTTTAATATTGTGGGTGGGGTTTGATATTGCTTTGGGTGGAGCTCTTTCTGTGGGTGTGACTTGTGTGACTCTGAATTATTGTGGGCATGACTCAATATTGTTATTATTGTTGGGTGTGGCTTGTTATTGTTGTAGGTGGAGTTTAATAATATTGTGGGTGGGGAGCTATAGAGAGCAGATGGCTCCGAAAGCTGTACTCTGATCGATCTGCGCAGTGTCACTTCAAGTCGAACACACCTATAGTGAGTGGGTCTTGATGTTGTGGGAGGAACTCACAACTGTGGGCGTGGCTAAATATTGCTGTACGTGTGACTCAACATTGTTGTGGGTGAAGCTTAATATTATTGTGCGTGGGTATTAGTGTTATGGGAGGAGCTAATAAATATGGTCATGGCTCAATATTGTTGTAGGTGTGATTTGACATTGTTGTGGGTGGAGCTCAATACCATTGTGGGTGGGTCTTGGTTTTGTGGGAGGAGCTCAAATTGTGGGCGTGGCTCAATACTGCTGTAAGTGTGACTCGACATTGTTGTGGGTGGGGCTTACTATTGCTGTTGGGTGGGTATTAATGTTATGGGAGGAGCTCACAATTGTTGGCGTGGCTCAATGTTGCTGTAATTGTTACTCAACATTGTTGTGGGTGGAGCTTAATATTGCTGTGGGCGGAGGTCAATATAATTGTGGTGGGTCTTGGTGTTGTGGAAGGAGATTTCAAATGTGGGTGTGACCCGACATTATTGATGGTGGAGATTGATATTGCTGTGGGTGGAGTTTAATACTATCGTGGATGGGTCTTGATGTTGGTGGGTGAGTCTTGGCTCAATATTGTTGTAGGTGTGAAGAAGTTGTAGCACGTTTTGTACCTTTCATGTAGGCGTAAGCCCTGCAAGCTGGTGAGGCTTTGTGCAGAATACTCCAGCATCCAGAGTTTATAGAACAGCATCACATTCAAAAACACCAGTAGCACCAGACTGCAGAGAGACAACAAACAGACACTTGAAAAACAGAGCATATGGACACATTCAGTGAAGAAAAAACTGACAAACGCTGGACCTGTGATTAGTAGAGTGAACGTGATCGCATGTTAGATGAGTAAGGAAATGTGCTACACACAGACATATGAGATATTCCTACTATTGTCCACAGAAACAGACTTTATTCAAGTAGGAATTTGGAAATTTGGACTTGTTGCATTGAATGAAGCGCAGCATAAGACTGATAGAGGGGCACTGAGAAAATGGACTAGAATGGCAGGATAGATATGAGATTTTCTGAATGGATATATATTTGACATCAGTAAAGGAATGTACCTTATACAGATCCTAAGACCAACCACAAGAGGCAAAACCAAAAAAAGAAAAGAAAAAGAAAAAATTCACTAAGTCATATTTATAAAAACATTTAAAAAGTAAACAAAACTGTATCAGTACTAATTAAAAGAGACAGTACTACTTACACAAAGCTGATGATGAGGAGTGGTTTAGAGAGGTTGCAGAAAATCCCGCCCCCTGGCGTGTGCTCAGGAAAGTGTCTTGTCTGAGTGGAACCTGTGGGCAGAGTGCATGAAAATGCAACCAGTCTTAAAAAATTTAAATCTAGTATCTTTTGTATTTGATAACATTTGAATGTGCATGAACTCACCTGCCACGTGTTTGATGCGGTGGATGACCTCCTTGTCTGTTGGTGTGGTAACAGGACTTAGGGTCTCATCTAGATGGGTTGTGCGCAGGTGGGCGGGGGGTCTTTTTCTCCGTCTTAGGGTGGAGTTCTTCACTGCTTTAGCATTAGGAGACAGTCTGTGGCTTTCCATTAGAGCGTCCTCCATCTTTGCTAACTCCAGTTCTGATAAAACAACTTTTTTTAGTGGTGACAAAGAATTCTGCACAACAGAAGGACTAACATTAATGCAAAACGTGGAGTCAAACAGAAGAAAATTGTGGGTGGTGCTCAAGATGGTTGTGGGTGTGAATTGTTATTGTTCTGGGTGGGGCTCAATGTTGTAATGGATGGGAATTTATATTGTTGTAGGTGGGACTCAATATAGTTGTGGGCAGAGCTGAGGGTGGAACTCTTTATTGTTGTGGGTGGTGATCAATATAGTTGTGGGTGGAGCTCAATGTTGTTGTGGATGGAGCTACAATATTTATTGTGTTTGGGGGTCAATATTGTTTGGGTAGGGCTTAATATTGATATTGCTATGGGTGAAGCTCGATGTTGTTGTGGGCAGAGCTACAATATTATTGTGGGTGGGGCTTGATATTGTTGTGGGTGGAACTCAATGTTGTGGATGGTGCTCAATATGGTTGTGGGTGGAGTTTAATATTGTGTGTGGGGCTCAATATTGTGGCTGGGACTTGATGTTGTGTGCAGAATTCAATTTTGTTGTGGGTGGGGCTCCATATTGTTGTGGTTGGAGTGATTGCTGGAAAATGTGGAGTGAAGTAGAAGATAGATGTGGGCGGCGCTCAAGATGGTCGTGTGTGGGAATCGATATTGTTGTGGATGGAGCTCGATGTTGTTGTGGGCAGGACTCAATATTATTGTGGGTGGGGTTCAATTTTTGTTTTGGGTGGAGATTGATATTGTTGTGGGTGAAACTCTTGTTTTGGGTGGAACTCATTAGTGTTGTGGATGGCTCTTAAGATGGTTGAGGTTGAGGTTAGAGAAAGTTGCAGTTGGGGCTCAAGGTGGTTTTGGGTGGTTGTGAGTGAAACTCAGGATGGCTGTAGGTGAGTTCATAATGGATGGACATTGAAACTGTCTTACCAAGGCTTTTGAAGTTCTCATCTAGCCCACTCCAGAAGTTCTTCTCAATGAAGCCCTTCACCAGCCCCCATGGCTGTTTCCTGTACCTCAACTCTGTAGAAATCCTGAAGGACAAATTAATCACATTATTGTCAATCCACACCTGCCTCTCTCTGTTTGGCCTTGACCATGAAAATCTACTGTCCTGTTCATCCATACCTCAGCCGACACTTGTTCTTGGCCACGCGTGTGAGCATGTAACGGTTTATGGTGTAGAAGTAGTCATGGTACGGCACGTCATGAGTGATGACTTCTGCATCGATGATGTAGCACTCACTCTCCTGGCTGGCCTTATACAGAGTCTAGTTCAGAGAGGTTGCAATGAAAAAAATAAATAAAACACACACACACACACACACAAAAAAAACAGTACTGAGGAGAATTCCAGTCCAGATGAATGTCTCACCTGAGTCTCAGTAACTGTAGCTGTTTTAGGAGCCAGTGGGTTGGTCAGGGAAATTGTGTACATGATCGCCCTGGTCTGATTTCCAGCATCTTCCTTCTTCCAAGGCTGATACACCACATCTGTGAAAAGATGTGCAAAATCAAAGCAAGCATATCAGAAGCACAGTTATTATAGTTAACAAAAAAATATATATTGTATATGTATATAAAAACTTATTTAGTTTTAGCTAGATTTCAGCTTGTAGGTAATAGGTAAAAATAAACTAAAATAAAAATGAATAAATATACAATAATAGATATGATAATTAAAATAATAAAAGAAAGTAGTTTAAACTCAAATTCAAATACTGAATTATTTGGCAAGTAACTCTGTAATGAGCAGTATAATATACAGTGAGCTGGACATTACAGATAAATAAATCTCTTCAGGGTCTTGATAATTCTATTAGGGTTTATTTTTATTATTCATGTAAAGTTTTCTGACCTGTGAATCTCCTCTGATCCATAAAGTCTGTCATGAACTGGGACTCAGTGAAGAGAATGGTGTACAGCTTATCAACACCGAATTTATACACCTCGTTGATGTACTGACGGCCGTTCAGATCCTCGTGGAATGCTTGAACCTCATCGCCTAAATAAACATTCAAACGTAAAGATGAACTGTACAGCACTGCTCAAGTATTGGCATCAAAATACTGTATGTGTAGAGTCTCACACTGTTCACTATTCAAATGAGATTTTCAGAATAAGACAGAATATGTATCTACATGTAGTAAGTTATAACAAAATTAATTGATTAAATCGATAAACATCAATATTGCTTTGTGCTGCTTCCAAACTGTGGAAATGTTTATATTGGTTTTGAAAATGTGAACGTGTTCACTTCATATTGTAATATTTATTTATTTTATTTAAATTATATTATATAATATAATTACAATAAAATAAACACATATTTAAATGATTAAATACATTTGACTTTAATAAAGTAACACTTTATTTATTTAATTATTATTTAAATAACTTTATTTTTAATTGTTATATTTTAATTATATATATAAAAAAAATGTTTTTTTCCCTTTTTTGCTAAAAAGCAATTTAAAGTTTAAAACATCGGTTTAAACATGAAACAAGAGTTTTTTTTTTCAAACCTTCATCATCTGTCACTGAGGAATCACTGAGATCAGTGGGTATATCCTCATTGTCGTTGAAGTCCAGTGCCGGTGGTGGCACAGGATCCAGAGGACTGGCCGGCTCGCTGTTCCTCTCCTCAGCCAGCAGAGGGAGCGGCAGCAGATCTCCATCAGGAAGGCAGTCTGTGTACTCCTCAGCTGCAATGTCAAACTGACACCAGCAGAGGGCACTATTTTAAACATCATCTCTTAAAGGCGTCATATGATTCGATTTCAAGTTTTCCTTTCTCTTTGGAGTGTTACAAGCTGTTCGTGAATAGATAAGATCCCTGAAGTTGCAAAGACTAAAGTGTCAAACCCAAAGAGATGTTCTTTATAAAAGTTATGACTGGTCCACGCCCTCCTAAAATGCCTCGTTCTAACACGCCCCCACATGTCTACGTCACTGTGTGGGAAGATTTGCAGACCTCGCTTTTCAGACTGAAGAGCTTTGTAAAAATCGACGCGTTTCAGAAAGGCGGGGCATAGAGGAGAAACAATAATTTACAGTATGTGGAAAATAATGTGTTTTTTAACCTTAAACTGCATAAACACATTTTATTACACCAAATACACAAAATGTTCTTTTTAGAAACATCATATGACCCCTTTAAAATGGCATATGTGAAGACAGACTGCGAGCTTTTACTCACAGACAGTGGCGTATCAGTGCTGCTGGGAGGTGTGGTGGAGGTGATGGTGGAGTGTGTGATGGATCTCTTGTGTGATGGAGGAGAACTGTTGTCTGGCTTGTTCTCACTGCTGCTCTTGGATGAGTTATCATTACTGACCTCGTTCTCCTCTGCTGGGATCTCCTCACAGTATCTGAACAGAGAGAATGTGGACACTTAGGTGCAATATTTGTGCAACATTCACATCTGTTATAGACCATATCTGAATATGTTGGGTTTTGGAACAGTAGTTGTATGTCTGCATGTATAACTCACCCCATGGTGTTGAAATCATCATCAGGCGGCACATAGTCTTCATCGTCACTAGTGAGGCCCAGCTCATTTCCATAGCACTGATGTACAAAGTGCCAGAGCTCTTTAGGACAGAGAGGCTGCACACAGAGCATATCACATTTCATTATATTTGCTTAGATAACATCAACTGTAACATATTCAATATTACTTAATATGTAATTCACTAATAATTGCATGGATTATTTGCATTTATGCACACAAGAGAGCTTTTCATGACAAAATTCAGCTTAATTCACAACACTTGCATAGACACATGAATTTGTTCTTAACCTCGTTCTAATGTTTTATAATTGTTTTTAACGTTCAAATTATTTTGGAGTATTGTAAATGTGTGACTGCATGCGTGCCCGAGGTTAGTCATTTGCATAAAACATGCTCAAACATGTCCATATAAGGACTCTCTGCATAACCGTTCCTGTACTTCTGTCACTCTACTTAACTATTTTACTGAATTATTAAAACAAACAAAAAAATAAATCAATTAATTATTAATGATAACAATAATTATCTGTAAATAATACATTAAAATAGCATATAACTTTGACCAAATTACCAAAAGCCAAAGTGATTCTAATGTGGTTCTTTGTCCTAATTTTATTACAAATTTTACTAATAATATTAAGAACAAAGAAGCAAATAGCTCTTTCTCTTAATAATCACTGAAGTTGCCAATCACTTCAGTTCGTTATACTGCACAATGAATTACATCATGTATTATTTACATCATGTTTACATTTTGTTGGTTATAATAAAAGGATTCGGCACAACTATAATGATAATGGCACAACTGAATCACTTTACAAACCATTTCTTCTAGCTTATGAACGATATAAACATTGACAGTCAATCCTGCTTTAAAGGGTTAGTTCACCCAAAAATGAAAATTAGCCCATAAATTTCTCACCATCAAGTCATCCTAGGTGTATAGCTAATTTTCATTTTTGGGTGAACTAACCCTTTAAAGACTTTGAGCATTTAAGGCAGCAGTCGACAAAATCGCAGTGTGCACTTATAATAATGTGTTGTTGTGGATGCTAATATAGTTATCTTTCTTGGTGTGAATGGGGCTTTAACTTCTCTGATTGGCCACTGCATTTTTTTTTCAATTTTAGCATTAACTTGGTATCAAACTTTTGACATCACTAATGTGTTCATATTCTCACCTTGTCCAGCAGTGCATTCTGCCAAAGTCTAAACATCATCATGTAGGTCCTGTCTCTCGCACCAAACGATGTGAAAAAGTGCTGAAGGGAAGAGAAAAACAGGGATAGCAAGTGACAAACACCAAGAAACAACTTATGTGTTAATATGCTGTACTGTCTGAAAGACTCACCTTCTCAGTGTCTGTGCACACCTGTATGGCATTGGGAATCAGACGCGCGGTTTTCTCTTTCGTCATGGAGCAGATGTCTTTCAGCCGCACTGTAAGCTGCGCACGCATGAAACACAACAACTCAACTCAACTCAACTCAACTCAACTCTTCTCCAATCTCAGGCTGTAGCTCCAAACGTTTGAGTTACAGTAAATCCTACCAGTGTCTCCCAGCGAAAGATGTTGCTGTAAAAACAGATCCAGTTTTCGGAGAGGTAGAGGCGGCCCTGCAGGAGAATGTCCCGCTGGAGAGCGCATGAGTAGTCTGCCAATGACAGGATGAGGTCAAAGGTCAAAAGATGCCCCTACTGTTTCATCATTCAATTGAAGAATTTTGTTTTCTAATATTTTAGTTTACGTCCATCTAGTTCTCCAGGAGATCCCCCCCTCACAATGTAAAGCGCTTTGAGTGCACAGTCTACAGAGAGTGTTATTTGCTCTTAAACAAAGTGAACAAAATGGGTTTAAACCAGAAAAACAATGACTTGCAATTAGACCAACATATGCAAAATCTTTTTTTTTTAATCACTCTCTTATAACAAATACTAAGTCTAAATTCTAATGTGACTGCATATAAGCAAGTATTTAATTTGTTCATGAATACACTCAGTACATGAGAGCTCTTACCCACAATAAGACGCTCTGTGTCCGGCAACTGCTTGAAGAGCTTCCTGAAGTCTTCATTACGCTGCTTGTATGTGGGACTGAGGACCTACAAAACACATAAAGCTGTAGATGAGGAACACACACACTCACACATCCATCCACACTCAGAAAAAACAGCCATTCCACTCTCGCACAGCTGATCATCAGGCAAATGCTGCTTTAGTTTTGCCATGCAGCAGCGTGAGATGAACCACAACGAGTTCATTCCCACTGTGGAGTCACACTGCTTCTCATTCACAAGTGCAGTCTCCACTCCTGCTAATAAGTGAACGTACACCTGGCAGTGGAGCGTAAACAGCCTTTAAAGACAAAATGCTCTGAGAAAAGACAAGACAATTACTTCAACACTGATAGGGTGTTTTGAGATCAACCATGTAAAACGGTGATTCCTTACATGAAAAATTGTACGTGATACACTGTTGCCATAGATGTGAGAAAACAACAACAACAACAAAAGATCATAAATGCCTTTAGAATGAAACACAAATTGATATTATTATTTAACCAATTAATTCCGTTTCAAAAATATGAAATTAACATTACATATATAGACAGTACTGACACTGTCGACATTTAATGTTTTTTTTTTTTTTACTAATTTCTACAATATTAGAATGAGCAAATAAAATAAATATATAAATAAGCATAACAATTTGACTAAAAAGTGTGTTTCGTGTGTGTTATACACATCATTTTATAAATTGTCATGCTTATAATATACGTTCACGTTAATTTCTTATTTTCAAAACAGAATTGATCAGCTAAATAATATAATATAATATATAATTCCTTATCACGTCCTTCTTATCATCTACAGTTCACACACCCATCTATCAACCTGTACTCACTCTCCATGTATAATTATTATATTATATTATATTGTTAAAAATATGAAATCAACATGTATATATAGACAGAACTGACAATTTAGAGTCAACATTTGTTTATACTAATTTCTGCCAAATTAAAATGAGTAAATAAATAAAATACAATACTATTATTATATATAAAAATTTGTCTGAAAACTTAAAAGTATATGTGTGTATATATAGACACACACTGTATACTGTATATATACACAATAGTTGTATATATTTACATAATTTTCATGTTGTACATTGGCCTATTATTATTGACAGTGTACCCTAAACTAGTCGTATACTCTTTTGTTGAATCTTTATGGAGACTCACAGCAGGTATTTCCTCATCCTGGTACGGGTCGTCCCTCGGGCCCCAGTGCCAGTTCTGGTCCCAGTCTGAACCCTGAATTAACCAGCCTGCCAAAGCCTCCTCCAGCTCCATAAGGCTCTCCCAGTCGTCCTGAGAGCTAAGTGATGAATCCATGTTTCTGTGTCTGTCTCTTACTACAGCCAGCGGCTCAATCAGTTCAACAATGACACTCCACTCAGACTGCCAGATCCTGCAGCTATTTTTGATTAGGGTGGGTCTGTGGATTCACTCACTCCTTCAAGGTACGTCTACGCTATCGCAGATGTTCATCAGGGTGTAACCTCTATCAGGGTGTGAGTGTCGGCTCTTCTGACTAGTGCCACATTATTCCAGTGCAAAAACACACCCACACACAAGTGGCCTTTAGTAACCTCTGCAGACACTTTATTATGCTGCTGTTTGTTCCAGTTTCCCACCGTTTGTACTGGGAAAGAGTCTGAATGCGTGTCCGTCTCGATTCTTTATGCTTCTTCAGACTGTAAACGCTGTGACCAGAGAGTCGATGAAGAAGGAACATAAAGTTACTTCCGCATAAGATTATTAATCGTTACCACAGTATGCAATGGCCACCAATATCTCCATTACAATTTGGTTGTTGGCTTTCAAAGATCATTCTTCCTGGAGTTTAGTCCATCAAAGACGTGATTCTTCTTATTCCTATAGTTTGTGCTTGTTTTCATGCATTCAGCAGCTGCACAGGTCAGACTTCAGAGAAGAAAGATGGTCTTCTGCAAGTGTGAATTGGATCACAACGACAAATAAAGAGCGTCACTAGAAGGTTGATGAAGAAGGATCAGTAAGTTACTTCCGTATAAGATTATTAATCGTTACTTCAGTATGCAATGGCCACCAATATCTCCATTACAGGTTGGTTGTTGGCTTTCAAAGGCCGTTCTTCAGGGGTTTAGTCCATCGAAGATGTGTTTCCTCTTAGTTCTCAAAGTTTGTGCTTGTTTTCTGCATTCAGCAGCTGTTGTTGTTTGACTTCAGAGAAGAAAGATGGTCTTTTTTCTCGGGACCACGTCAACAAATAAAGACCATCCGGAAACACTCTGTGCCAAATCCTTGGGATCTTAGGTCCTCTTTTTAATCATTTACACTTTCCAATGTAGAATTCACACTCGCATCTCTCAACCCCAAACTATACTCACTTGCTCCCTCTCATTTGTGCCTAAAGATAACTAAGAACAAAGACTGACACATGATCTGCAGCAGTCATAACGCTAAGAATGGAATTCTGCTTGTGCAAGCAACAACTCCGACCCAAAAGTGTCCTCTCTTCAGCGCTTATGCATTAATATCCATAAAGGCAGATGGATAGTTACTCCCAATGGAGAAGCAGATACTCAGGAACATTCCAGAGCAGATCCAGACCAGCAGAAACCTCAGCAGATCCTGCGAAGCACAACAGCTCTGTCTGTCCTGCTGATTTATGTAGAGCTGGGTGTGTGTGAGTGTGTTTACTCCTGCTTATGAGTTTGTAAAGTCAGTTACTTATTAACTAAAAGAGTAAATAATGAGAGACGCCTGTAGCTGGTACAGGAGTGGGTGTGACGACTCCAATAATGTCATCAGGGGATCCCTTTGTTTTCTAATGTCACAGTGGTCTAGTGTGCTATATATGCATCAACTTTTGGGGTGCGATCTGTTAAGGGTAGTCTCTCGCAACTCAAAATGTTTTTTATTTAGCCAAACGTCCACCTTAAAGGGACAGTTCACCCAAAAATGAAAGTTCTGTCATCATTTACTCACCCTCATGTTGTTCCAAACATGTATGAGTTTCTTTCTTCTGCTGAACACAGAAGAAGATATTTTGAAGAATGTTGATAAATAAACAGTTTTGATGACCAATGACTTCCATTGTATGGACCAAAAAACTCTTTTAAGACATTTCTCAAAATATATTCTTTTATGTTCTACAAAAGAAAGAAAGTCATACAGATTTGGAACAACATGAGGGAGAATAAATGTGACCCTGGACCACAAAAGCAGTCTTAAGTTGCACGGGTATATTTGTAGCAATAGCCAAAAAATACATTGTATGGGTCAAAATTATAGATTTTTCTTTTATGCCAAAAATCATTAGGATATTAAGTAAAGATCATGTTCCATGAATATATTTAGTAAATTTCCTACTGTAAATATATCAAAACTTAATTTTTGATTAGTAATATGCATCGCTAAGAACTTCATTTGGACAACTTTAAAGACAATTTTCTCAATATTTTGATTTTTTTGCACCCTCAGATTCCAGATTTTCAAATAGTTGTATCTCGACCAAACATTGTCCTATCCTAACAAACCATACATCAATGGAAAGCTTATTATTCAGCTTTTAGATGATGCATAAATCTCAATTTCGAGAAATTGACCCTTATGACTGGTTTTGTGGTCCAGGGTCACAAATGATTAAAATATTTTTTGGTGAACTGTCCTTTCAAAAGTCTTTAAAATACACTAAAGCTGGTATGTTAAATACTGTATGTGTCATATCTATATCTATAATGACGTCATAAATTTGAGTGTCCGGTGAAAGTACATTACTAAAAGCTTGGTTAAAATTTTTTTGAAGAATTCTTTATATGTATTAAAATTGTACTTTTTTTGTTTTTAAGTTACAGATATTTTACCATATGTAGGCTGCCATTAACACTATGAACCATGTATTGGTTTAGTACACGTATGGGACTTCCCCAACTTTGAATTAACTTCCATTGGGGTTCAAACCTAAGTTGACATCAACCTAAAACTGAATGTTTTTCACAAAAGAAAATTTGAAGAATGTTGGTAACCAAACAGTTTAAACTATAACCAAAAACTATACTTATGGAATCGAGTTGATTTCTGCAGAAAACGTCTTTGAATCATTTAGATGACAAGGACGCAGCAAAAATGTGTGATGATAACAGCCATAAAATGAAAAGACAGAGCAGGCCTTTGTGTGGCACGTCTGCTCTGGGTCAATGTTACACAACCTCTTCCTATTCATACTCTCTCTCTGTCACTTTCCTAATTTTATCCCCGAAAATAACAAGAACAAATGTGTCATGAAATTTCTGCCTTAAAATAAGTTATTCAAACAAGCTTTGCTCCTGTACAGAGTCAGATGCTCTTAATAATCAGCACTTTCTTGTAAACCAAACATCACGGAGCCTCACTGCAATGCAGTACAGCAGCCGACATTCACTCCGGTGGTCAGTCGGGCTCAGAACTCACATGATGACGGTTGAGATGTAATCACAGAGCTCTCAGGGCCATGGGAGATCATCACTGCCCATACGAACACACACAGACGCACATACTGTACACTCCACAGACAGCGCATCAGAAATGTTCAAAAAATACTGTATAACTAGAATGTCAACTCCACTGCGTGACATCCTGCCCAGTATGCATTTAGTACACAACAAACAGCTCACATCCGTGCAGTTGCAGTGTAATCAACCAATCAGAGCCAATAAAAGAGATGCAAAGTCTATTTACTGTGACGCCGCCATGCAGGCCCTTGTGAAAAAGAAGTGTACTTATTTGTAATGAATGTGCACATGTAGTGTACTTCAAATCTTAAACTATATTAAAAAAAAACTGTACTTGTAGATAATATAGGATTAATAAAAGCGTACTTAATAAAACGAAGTATACTTCGAGTACACTTTCATGATTACTGTATGTTTTTTAACACTTAAGTACACTTTTTAAAAGTGCACTTTGAAATAATGTCAATTTAAAAGCTTTAAATAAGTACACCTATGTGCTGACTAGCATAATGAAGCACATGTAAAGAACCTGATCATTTGAACTGTAGTGTGTTGTTTGATATTACATTTAAAGTTAATATATTTTAAATGTGACCCTGGAGCACAAAACCAGTCATAAGGGTCAATTTTTCGAGAAGAAAATTACTATATTATGTAGAACAAAACAGTAGCTATGCAGAGCATTATTTGCATACGGCCCTCACAGCGAGTGTATATTTACAGACTGTGAGGGTTGGACGAGGGCCTGTCATGTGGCAGCTGGTAAAGTCTGCTAGACTGACATTTCCCTTCACCGGATAATTACACATGTATACATCATTTGGCCTTTCCACAAATAGAGTGAAACAAAAATAGATGGTTAAATGAGCAGTTTCAAAGCTGATATGTCATGGAAATAAGACAAATTCACACCCGCATGAACCAAAATAGAAACTTAAAGAGACTTTTAAGGGGGTGTTTGTGTACAGGGGTGAACTGACATCACTACCGCTCTATTTATAACCTCTATTTAAATGTTGTTCTATTGGGAAAAAAAAAATTCCCTTAAAAATATTTATTGTAATTATGAGATTATATCTCACAATGTGACTTTGTTTCTTGTAATTAAGACATTACATATTGCAAAGTAACTTTATTTCTTGTAATTATGAATTTCTATCTCTCAAAGTGACTTTATATTTCATCGCTGTGATTTTATACCGCACAGTGTCACTTTTTATCTCTCAACATGACTTTTTCTTGTAATTATGGCATTAATTTGCAATGTGATTTTATTTCTCGTAATTATGACATTATATACCACAATGTGACTTCATTTCTCATAATTATGACATAAATCGCAATGTGACTTTATTTCTCGTAATTATGATTTTAAATCTGTGCAAAGTGACTATTTCTCATAATTATGACATTATATTTCACAGAGTGACTTTATTTCTCATAATTATGACATTTCGCAGTGTGACTTTATTTCTCGTAATTATGACATATCTCACAATGTGACTATTTCTCGTAATTATGAATTTATATCTGCGCAAAAAGACTATTTCTCATAATTATGACATTATATTTCACAGTGACTTTATTTCTCGTAATTATGACATTGTATTTAACAGAGTGACTTTATTTCTCATAATTATGACATTATAGTTCACAGAGTGACTTTATTTCTCATAATTATGACTATATTTTGCAGTGTGACTTTATTTCTCGTAATTATGACTTTATATCTGTGCAAAGTGACTATTTCTCATAATTTTGACATTATATTTCACAGAGTGACTTTATTTCTCGTAATTATGACATTGTATTTAAAAGTGATGTTATTTCTCATATTTATGACATTATATTTCACAGAGTGACTTTATTTCCCACAATTATGACATTATATTTCAGAGTGACTTTATTTCTCATAATTATGACATTCTTTTTCACAGAGTGACTTTATTTCTCATAATTATGACATATTTCGCAGTGTGACTTTATTTCTTGTAATTATGACATATCTCACACTGTGACTATTTCTCGTAATTATGACTTTATATCTGCACAAAATGACTATTTCTCATAATTATGACATTATATTTCACAGAGTGACTTTATTTCTCGTAATTATGACATTGTATTTAACAGAGTGACTTTATTTCTCATAAGTATGACATTATATTGCACAGAGTGACTTTATTTCTCATAATTATGACATTATATTTTGCAGTGTGACTTCATTTCTCATAATTATGGCATAAATCGCAATGTGACTTTATTTCTCGTAATTATGACTTAATATCTGTGCAAAGTGACAATTTCTCATAATTTTGACATTATATTTTACAGAGTGACTTTATTTCTCGTAATTATGACATTGTATTTAACAGTGACGTTATTTCTCATATTTATGACATTATTTTTCACAGAGTGACTTTATTTCCCGCAATTATGACATTATATTTCAGAGTGACTTTATTTCCCGCAATTATGACATTATATTTCACAGAGTGACTTTATTTCCCACAATTATGGCATTATATTTCAGAGTGACTTTATTTCTCATAATTATGACATTATTTTTCGCAGTGTGACTTTATTTCTCGTAATTATGACTTTTTATCTCTCAAAGTGACTTTATATTTAATCTCTGTGATTTTATACCACACAGTGTCACTTTTTATATCACAATATTACTTTCCAGAATGTGAAATGAACTAAAAAGAAAAACCCTTTGACATATCCCACCCAAACTTCCTGTTCATCAACACAGAACATAATTGCATTCATTGAAATCATTTCATGAGGTTTTTAAGGGCATGATTACATGCCTAAGAAACAACTCCATGTCGACAGAAAAGGTAGTGTGAGATATATGTCTTTCCAAAAACAGTCTGCATTATGGGGATAAACTGGTTTTACATATCTTCTTTATGACAGACCACCATCTAAATGAAAAGAAACAGGGGAATAACTTAAGGCGAGGACAAACTCTGATGCTATATCAGTTTGAAGAGGTATGGCACATAATGGGCTCCCTTGTTTTATAGTCTAGGTTAAAGTGAGCAGACAAAACGACAAGAGGTGGGTGTCAGCTGATAAGATGCTCAATTAGCCTACACCCCAAACACATGCTGTGTGTGTGTGTGCTACTTTGATGGATTTGCTAGCTCACAGCTCTCATTGTGTCTCCTTCATGACCTTTTAAAGCCTACAGATCAACGCACACTGACCTGCTAACACACATACTGGTCTACCCTGTCAAGGCTCAGGGATTGGATGGTTTAATGTGGGCTAATCTGATCTAAACTCAAGAGAGGTGTGAGACAGGTCTCTCGTGTGTACATGTGGATGGAGAGAGAGAGAGAGAAACAGGTGAGGAAGGGAATGGAGGAATAGTTGATGGTTGCTACACATATGAACTAACACTTAAGGTAGCGTTAGTTCAGGGGTCAGGGGTCAAATGAAGAACAACATGAAATGCTTACTTTAATCAGGTTTAATCTGTCATACTGTAAAGCAATGAAAACAGAATGAAAAATAAAAACAAGGAGAAACTGGAAGCTAATGCATTTTCATGCATTTGTTATCCAAAGTCATTTAGAATGCATGTCTGTTCTAGAAATCGAACCCATTGCTAGCATGCTTTACTACTTCTAAAAAATATCTAATAGCATTTTAAAGCATCATAAGCTTGCTCCTGACATGAAGGCTGCTCCAAAGAGGCAGTAACATTATGCTGCCTTGTAAGATTACTACATTATTTGAGCCTAGGTTTATGCTTTACTGCTCGAAAAAAATAAAAAATAAAAATAAATACATATAAAATCGTGGCGTCAAGACAAATGTCTATCATAAATATATTAAATATAAATAGATAAATATTTGAATAACTGAATCAATCAATCAATCAATCAATCCAAAATGGAGTTGAGAGAAATATTTATCATAAATATATTCAATGCTGAACAAATCCATAAAAGCACTAACTAAATCCACATGCTACATGTTATTTAAATGAATCAAGACCAATTAAAATGCATATTTTACATAGGTTTGCAGGTGCTATATTTTTGTCTGAACTTATTAGAGTATCAAGTCATTAGCATAGCAACATGCTAACGGCAAACTGTTGAAATCCCATGTGCTTCAGAGAAAGAAATAAAGGAAGCTTTGTGGCCTGTTTTACATGGAAATGATTAATAATTAAAAGATATATACACTCTTTTACTACATTATTGATCAATACTTTAGTGAACACAGAAGGCACAGTCAGGAAATTCCTGGTTTGAGAATTCCCTCTGTTGGAAATCATAAATCATCATCTGTTTGCAAAGACAGGTGACTCATGGGACAAACACAGTCGATTATCCAGTGATTTCATCTCACACAGCACTCTGATGTGATCAATGAAAAGACCTATAGATTAAAATAGCTGAAATCCTGCATGTCAAATTTTTACCCCAAATAAATGCACAGTCACATAAAATGAAGAATCATATCAGTGTAGTAAAATCACCTATTTCATATACATAAGGCTGGTCCTCTCATGGTGGCGGCCATCAAATTAGAACTGCACGACTAATGATCACGATTTCTTCCTTTCTTGATTTATTAAACATAATCATCTTATTTTCCTGATTTATTTAGTTATTTTTGACATTTCCATTATCTTGCATTGGTAACAATCCCCCAGGAGCATTCATGCGTGGGGTTGCCAGATGTCAAGTGTTTAAATCCCCTTATAAGAGCTTTTCTCTTAAATGGATATATTTTCTGCTCAAGTGTGACTTAATTTTCCCAACCTGGCAACTTGTTGCAACTAAATCTGTGCATCATAAATCCAAACATGAATCTTGACTATATATCGTTTGTGCCACTATACAGTCTTTTTTTTGTTTGTTTAATTCAAAGAAAAAAAAACAGAATTTGGAATTAGGAATTTCACTTTTAATTTTCTTAAGGTTTTACCAGTTTTCATAATATAGACTGTGTTAATGTACAGTATATGACAAATACAATAAACTAGATGAGGTGAAATAAACCCTGCATACGAGTTGGCATTCTCTAGACTGGTGCTTACATAAAGTGCAATAATTCTGATGATTTTTTTTTCATCATGCAGCCCTAAGTCAAATACTTCTCACTCTTTTTAACCTACTATCATACTATGATGCAGAATCATAAGTGACAAATACACCTGCTGACAGGAAAGCAGATGGAGAGAAAGGAGTCTATGCGTGTATTTGTTTAAACAAACACTTGGACACACACTTGCATTCACACAAACAGGGAGTCAGACAAATCAATAACACCGAAACAGACTACAGAACGGCCACTGGAGCAGAAATACAGACAAACAGGGTGAGAGACTGAGTGACTACAGAACAGAAGAGAGAAATGCTTACTTTGGAAAGTCGCTTGTGACACTAGCATGCATCGAGGAGAAAAACAGAAATCAGAAAACGGAACACAAATCAGACCAACCACAAACAGCGAGAAGAACATGATAGTCAAGTTTAGAGCAAAGACACTTTATATGACATCAGCAAAAGTATAAAACTCAGTACAGTGAGTGAGAAAAATTAAAGGAAACAGGCAGAATAAGCGACTGCAACAGTTGAAATGAGACAGACAGACTGAATGATGACATGAGCTACTCTGCATTTATTACAAATCACTTCACATAACAGCAAAGCTTCATCTCTCCATTCATTCACCCACTTGTTTATTGACACCCGTCCATTCATGCATTCATTCATTCATGAATTCCTTCATGCATTCATTCCCACATGTGAATGTGATTTTTGAGTTGTTTTACAGACATTGAAAGCTACATGAACACAACATCTGCTGTTTGGCTTCATTCTTGTTTAAGGTGACCAGATTTCTGAAATGAAAACCGGGGACATTTGCTAGTTCAGTGGTCAAAATATCATTGAAATCTCACTTGTCATTATCTACAAATTAAAAAACAGGGACAATATATTTGTGTATGTATTTGTTTTTTAATTGTTGTGGTTTCCATATATTAATATCATAATTAGTAATAATTACAATGATGTTTGAGGATCAAACTTACCTTAGTTTCTTAATAGGCCTACAATTCACCAAAAAATCACACTATGAAACGTAAATAGTTACTATTGCAAATAGTAAACTGCAGTGCCGATCCTAGATTCTGGGGGCCCTACGCCTGATTTTTATGTAGAAAGGGCGACAGCGCACTGCATTAAAACAAATGATCATTCATGTTTTCATAACCGCTGGCCAAATTCAAAAACGAAACTAAAATTAAATCATCTTTGAGAGCAAGGGGGCCCCCTGGTGTTTCGGGGGCCCTACGCAGCTTGCGTATTTTGGGTATAGGTAAACATTTGATCTGGTAAACAAATCAAAATAGGATTATAACAAACTTACAGCTTTACAAAAACACATTAAATATAAAACAATAAATATGAGAACATATGATAAATAAAACTGTATTTAACAAATATTTTTAACATTTTAAAATATAAAGTAATTAAAGTAAAAAATGGTGGAAGTTTCAGGAATGTTTAATACTGTGTGCTACACAATCCCACAACATTATCATACCTTGCTATAAAATGCACACAAACAGTATTACTTTGTTTTAACATGTATAGTTATGCTGCATTCACTGCATTCATGTCGTAATTACCGTGATTTCGAGATGACAATATATAACTTTCTACTTGGAGCTGTTTACACCCTTGGACTCAGAACGATCACACTATCAATGCTTAAACATAGCGTCTAATGAATCTGAGGTGGTCAAGTGGTACAAGTTGTAGCTCACAGAAAACTCCAATTCACAAGCTTTAATTATGAGTACTACGAGGACGTGAATGCTTTTTACAAGTTGGTATCTCGTAATCACGGTAATTACGATATGGCGTGAAAGCACCTTTAGTATGTGACTACCCTGAAACCAATAACGGCGTCTCTTTTGATAATTGATGATAATAGCGCTCCGCTCTCATTCCAGTTCTTCATGACTACAGTAGCTGCGCGCGACTAGTAATCAGTATAGCTCGTAGCGCCCTCTGCTGGTGAAAGTAATCATTGTTTTGAATGTGCTGTAAAATGGGGACAGCTCCAGTCAAACACAGGACACCAAAAACAGGGACTGTCCCCAGAAAATGGGGTCACCCTATTCCTGTTTGTACTGAAAATTAATAAATGATTAAAAAAAAAAATATGACAGATATCTTAAGGATATTCTCAGGAAATTATGCCATTTGAAGGTGTAATTTTTGTATTTTGTATTTTTCTGGAAAGAAAATAATACAGTAAGGAATGAATGATTTCTGAAGAATCATGTGACACTGAAGACTAGAGTAATGGTGCTGAAAATACAGCTTTACATCACAGAAATAAATGACATTTTCAAATATTTTAAAATAGTAAACAGTTATTTTAAACTGTAATAATATTTCACAATTTTACTGTTTTTACTCTATTTTTAATCAAATAAATGCAGCCTTGGTCAGCAGAAGAGACTTCTTTCAAAAGCAAAAAATCTTCATGTGTTTTATATTACAATGCTACTACTTACGTACTTTAAAAAATTTTGAAGTGTTCAGCAGTGTTCATTTTAAAAGAAATCACAAAAGATAAACATTTTCCTGCCATTTTTAAAATCATAAATGGCACTGTTTCCTGAGAATCAGCCTTCTATGAAGTTCTGTAATTGTGTCTGAGAGTGAAACTCTGTTTGGTCTTGATTGTAAATGTTTACACTGATTCCTTCTGCTGCTGCTTCACCTGTTCCTGACTTCATATGTTCATATAACACAGGAGTGATTTGGTGGAAGCTGAGAAGGTTTGCTTTACTGTCTGTAACTACTGCACTTGAGCAAGAAATAGACTTGTTTAGACAAATTTAAGGTCCCCCTTTAACAGAATTTCAATGTGAAAATAAATATATATTAAATAAATCATATTTTACAGTAATATAATAGATCTGCATGGGACAGATTACTTGCAAAAATAGTTTATTGTAGAACTATGCCAAATCAGAGTCTATGGGTTGGACACGTGCTATGATTGGACAACAAAGGGCAAAGTGGCAGGTAGGAGAAGGCCGTTCCACATAATTAAGTGCATCATATCCAGTACACGGCAGGCTTCCTAGTGGAAGTGATGCTGTAGAATGACTGGGGTTGGAGGAGAACCATAAAGGAACCCAACAGGTGGGGCTGGATTAGGAGGACATACCTTGGAGTTCTTGCCCCCGCTGCGTGTGGACTGGCCGGAGAAGGTGCGAGTGACCAGCTGCTCAGGGGTGGAGGGGGACTTGGAGGTGTCAGACTGCTCTGAGCCTTTCTCCACCATGGTGTCCGCCTCGACGTTCTGCAGAATGGGAGATCGACAGCGCTTCCGCAGAACCGGAGAGCAGGCAGGGGAACTCCGGTTAGAGTTACTGGCGGTGCTGGAGAGACAAGAGCCATACAAGATCAAGACTATTGTTTCAATTTCTCAGAGAGCGACAACTTAAACCTCTAGAAAGATAATCTGGCTGCCTCATTTCTTTGTAACTTGCATTTGGCCATTTTAGATCATAACATGAAAACACTCATTCCCATAGGTGTTTGGAGCTTCTAAACAACATTAAAACTACCAATGAAAACAACATAAACATAAAGTAAGTTTCTTAAATTTTTGTGTATATATAATTGAAATACACTTAACATGTTATTATTGCATACTGTTTTATAATGTACTGCGCTAAAATTTTGTGCAAATAGTATCTGCCACATAAATAGCATCAAACTATTATTTACACTTTGTGCAAAAAGAAAATACTGCTATTTTTATTTAGTGTAAATAGCATCGCTATTCGCACTTAAAGCTTTTTTTTCAAAAAACATCTGCCTTATTAACAGTAATACATTAAATAAAAAATAAAAAAAATTAAATACATAAACACAACAGTCTAAATTTATTCAAATCAGATTTGTTTTTGTATCATTGATAAACAATTATATATTTTTTGTTAACATTTTGAATAAAATTTTCTTATTATATTTTCTACTTTCATTTTATTTTTAAAGAAAGTTTTAATAAATGTTTGTGTTTTGTCATTTAAAAAAAAAATGTCTATATAGTTTTTATTAAGTTTTAGTTTATTTAGCTTTAATTATTTTAATACTTTAGCTTAGACTAAAAAAAAAAAAGACAAATGCTGCCTTGGCAAGTTTTATATTTTATTTACTTCAAGTAGTGGAAATGTTTTTTTTAATTAATTTATTTATTTTTAATGGTTTTAGATTTAGTTTAAAAAAAAATGATAATAACCCTGAAAATGTGAGAAAAGATAAAAATAGTCACATGCCTTAAGTAAAACAGATGTATTTAAATTAAAATCAATTTAAATATTAAAATCAAATATTATAATATAAATACATTATTTAAAAAAAACATAATGTCATAAAATATTACATATTATATTTGACCAAAACCATTTAAGCACAAACATCACTGACAAAAAGCAAGCAATCTCAAGTGACAGAACAAAATAAACTCACTTCAAACACCAATAACCTAAAAATCCCCCACAAACGCCACTGCCTTAAACAAGTCCACCTTTTAAACACCACTGACCTGAACAAGTCCACTGCAAACAGACACGTCATTATAGCAGGGATGGGCAGACGTTAATACACACAATAAACAACCGATAAACAAGCCAAACAGTATCAAAATCACCACAACTTCAGTATTGCAGCAGTTCCAGACATCAGCCTGCATCTGAACACACTTCATTTCTTAAGATAATGATCTCATATTAACACACATACACAATTTCACAGGCACACACACCCTCGCTCACACGCTTACAGAAATATATAACCACTAACTGCATGCTGACTTGTCTCTGTGGATGCTTGGTTCTCTCCAGTTTCCAAAGGGAGCAACCTGGTCACATTATAGGCTCTTATGCAACACCTTACATCACTACTAGCCAATCAGAACTGTAAAACAAGGTCACTACACTATTCTACAATTTCAGCGAGGCCTTGAGTGTGTGTGTGTGTGTGTGTGTGTGTGTGTGTGCGTGAGTGGACTGATCACAGTGCCTAGAACAGATCGCCGCCCGCTGTGGCCTGTCAGGTGCACTGCCAAAGACGCATGCTGATCATAGTGTCAGTCTAGCAATCTAACAGACAGCAGAAAATCACTGCTTTCATTGATTTTACATGCCAGGTGCCACCTAGCAGTGGCGGAGCCAGAGGGGTGTCCAGGGTGGACAGGGTGGACACCCCTGACATCTGATTGGCCACCCCAAAATTTAATATGCTACACTCTAAAAACCCAGCATTTTTTTTAGTTTAATTTTATCTGTTTAATCATACTGAAAGAAGCATTTGATGAATGTGATGACACAGACAACGCGCTGACAGACAAGACAGAGCAAGTTACTTTTGATAATAAGAAACAAAGTCTCAGCATTTAGATTCTGTTTTATGAAAAATTTCAAACGATGAATACAGTTTAGGAGCTCTTTAGTGGTGGGACGGTTCACGTGCGCTTCTGTTTTGCATCAGTTCAAGTGAAACAGGAGTGCGTTCTAATTAGCGTGAAATAAACATGAATGAACATCCGAAGGCGTGTTGAAAGATACAATATAACTAACTGAATGTATAGTGTCTCATGTGATCACTCAATGAGTGTTTCAACCGCAGAAAGACAGCAGCTTGGAAACACTGTCACATAACCTCAGAAAATCCATTCAGTCTCCATAAACCAGTGAGAAAAATGTACACTAGATAGGTGAATTTTGCAAAAATTACATTTATTATATTTTCACTCATATAATTACTCTTTTTTTATTATAATTAATAAAATATATATATATAATGTTATTATAAAAGTGGTCTAATATGAACTTGTTTACAAATCAATTCTTACTTTTAACCTTAACAATAGGGTTTCCCTGTATAATTTAGTTTAGAAAAATTGAGAAAAAAAAATAACGTACTTAATCGCTTGTTAATTATTCCTGTATAATTCTCACTCCAGGCTGAACTCAAAAGTTAAGTTGACAGCCCTGTTTGAAGTAAGTTGAAGTTTTAGGTTTCCTGAACAACATTTACAAAAATCACTGTATAAGTCAATGTTAGATCTTTTACTCCAACCGCTGGTAATACATGATAGAAATAAGAGAAATAAGTTACAATAGCATGTATAAAACTTTAGCTCCGCCACTGCCACCTAGAGAGGTAGAATAAATCTCGAAACATGTTTTGAGTAAAATATCAGAAAAAAAAAAAAAATTTTAATTAGCTTTTTTTACTTTTCCACTTTCTTAACATACTTAAGTATACTTTTAAATAAGTGCACTTTGTAAAAATGAAGTGTGTTTAAAGAACTTTATTTTGTATGTCATTTATATGTGATGACTAACGTACTAAACTGCAACTTCATCATTACAAATTTGTAATTACAAAAATATATAAAATTCATGACATTCAAGTTTCAACAGAAATTACATTAAAGTATATTTTAGCTTACCATAAATGCTTGTCAGTACATTCAGCAGTACACTTTAATCAAATAATTTAAAAAATAAATACAAAAATGTACTTAAGTCCTAATAAATGGGTAAAAAGCACTTTTAATTGCAACTAATTGCATTTAATATACATTTTAACTGTAATACATGTACATTTAATTGTAATTAACATGCAATTAAGTGTGCAAAAACATTACATTCAGTTCACACTTAAGCATGTTTATTTAGAATTTTCTAAATTATATTAAAAGTATGCTAAAGTGTATTTCTTTTTCATAAGGGTTTTGAAGTAACTTGCTGCTTAGTAAGTGAATCATATGACGAATCCTTCACCGAATGAATCTATCTGAATCAATAGCTGCTTTAATAGTTTATTCAGTGAAGGATTCATCCGCATGATTCAAACTAGTTCCTTCAGAGTTTGAGAGTCTTTCTGAATGATTCATTAAAAGAATCAACTCATAAGTTAATAAATCGAATCAAACTGAAGACTGCATTGTAGGTGATTTCAGGTTTTACTGAAGATATTCTGTCCCTCAATGATAGTAAAACCTGAAGTACAAACACACACACATTTACATAACTAAAGTCTAAATGAGGACATTCCACAGACTATTGTTTTCATATACAGCTAATTATAAATACAATAACCTAACCCCAATTTAACGCTAAAAGAAAACTTTCTGAATTTTTACAATAAAAAAAAGTCTTCTCACGTTCTTCTTTTTTCCCCCTTGCATTTATTCACCAATCAGATCTCAGATAAATACTTCATAGTGGTTTATTCCATCCCACTTTAAAACA